CTAAATATTCTGAGTAGGTCTTAACGGTGACTTCCAGTCTACTTCACTTGTTAATACGTTACCTGGTTCTTCTAAACCTCCGACCTAAGTCTTCTATGGTGTTGGATTTAAGTGCTTAACTGAACAGTTAAATAACTGAAAGAGACATGTAACTGAGACTAAGCGTTAATTCCATTTATCGGAAGTTTCATGGTTTTCTTTCTTGTTTTTAAGATTTTTACGCTCTATAAATCCTTCATCAGCATTCCTTGCAACACTGACACCCAATCTGGCCCAAAATGCCATGTTCAGAGACCTCTGGCATCAGTTTTACTCTTGTGGGTTGCTTCCTAGGAAGGGGTTACGAAAAGTTTTATCAATTTCTCCATCCTTTCTCCTCCCAACTTGATTGTAATGTTAACCAATTCATTTTTCCCTTTTAGGGACTGCAGGAAGGGATAGGTAAGCTTGTTAGAGCACTGCATTTGTATTCGTTTATTTCATCACTTAGGTCTTAATGCTGATTCCGCTTACTAATTTCGCTATTTTGAAATGTGCCACTTCAATGGAGAAATAAGATGTGGTGGCCTGATGTTTAGTGCACTGGACCCGGGTCCAGCGGTCTGGGTAAGAGCGGTGGCAGGGTCGTTGTACTGTGTTCGTGGCCAAGACTCATTACTCTCACAGTGCCTCTCTCCACCCAGGACTATAAACGGTTGTTGATGAATAACATGTTGGGAGGTAACCCTGCGATAGACTTGCAGCCCATTAACGGGGACAAGCACAAAACTCCAAGCCCGTTCAAAAGTCGTCAGTACTTTTGGAGTAATGAAGCCTTTTATTTCACAACATGCTAATTCAATTTTCGCACTTAAAGACCTTATGTTGGGATGTGGGACGAATTCGCGAGAATGTATTTTGAAGGGCCATATACTACAAACTGAGCCACCCTGGATGTGTATTTGAATGTGGATTTTACTCAAGAGAAAACTAATTTGTGGGTTATTTTTTAGGGTAAATGGAGCGGCATCTAATGAGGAAAGAGGCAAAATGCATGTAGGTCTTAACGTAACAGAAAATACAAGTAATCGTGTAAAGTATTACATGTCTTTTTAAAGCAGCCTTTTACTTGACTGTAATTACCCCTTTGATGGTTAGGGGGGGGGGTGTGAAGGGCGGACATGTTGAGGCTATTGAACTGTCATGCATAGAGTATTGAAACCATGGCTGTGGAACTTAAAGGATTTGAAGCACGTTTAAACATATTTCCTTAGAAGTCCATAACATACAGAGATGACGTCATAAGACTTTATTATTTCTGAACAGACGCCATCTTTGAGCCATCGTGCATAAGATATATTGTTTCAAATAGTCAAAAACCGACAAGGAAGGCTTAGAACATCAACAATGTTAATGAATGTAAGTTTGACAGAAAAACATGCCTGTGAAAATACGGTAGCTATGGAAGCACCAAAATCCTTGACCAATGAAATGCGATACTTATTTTTTTTTCCAGATCAATTTTAGGTAAGTCGTCAAATTTGAAGTTTATTGCTTTAGCGCTTTTAAAGATATAAGCGCATCTAAAGTTTTCATCACCCTTCTGGCCTGAATTAGTAATGCAGTTGACTCAGTTCAACTTACATCTCGCTTTCAGAAAAGGTAATTTGTAAACGTCAACTCTGTGTTAATAATTTGCCTCGCATTAGACTCAAATGGAAATGGATAATATTGGACTGGACGAAGATCCCGCC